ACATCTAACTTTTATTTTAAAAAATGAATTAGACGGATATAGCCTACTTGCGTTGTATCCCAAATAAATAATGTCTATTCCCTCTTTTAAAACAAATGCTTAGTTTGTGGTTCATTGTTTTATTTAGGCTATTTATTTATTTTTAATGAAAACAGAAACAATAAAGACAAACTCGCTTAAATTAAACAAAGAAATGAACCTTTATTAACAAAAGGTGCGCTTTTGGATCATTGTGTCACGCATCACTCTCGTCACGTGACCAACCCCAGGTCAATTTAGCTCAAAGGGAATCATTTAAGATTTTAAAGGGAACTCCACCAATAATATGTAAGGGAATTTGGACAGAATCACTGTTTTACGGCTGATCACTGAGACGGCCAGCGATTCATTTAAAGAGCCGTATAACATCAGTTCTGCAATGGATATTAATATCCAAAGTATAGTGAAAACACTATTTATTAGCACAGTAACAAGATCGGCAGTTTAAGACATTAACTTGTAAGCACAAAACACAAGATACTTCTCTTTTCAATATAAATAAGGCTTTATTGGATAAATCTAAGACATATAAACTAATCTAACACATAAACACGCGCATTCACACAAGTTGCAGAAAGAGAGAAAGTGAGGAAATAATTAGTTTAAGAGAATGAAAATGTGAAATCCCAAGTTTACAGCAATATGTGCAATTGCATAGATCTGAACAACCATCAATCACTTAATTAACCCTCGCATTGAGTTCCTCAATGAGGTTAAAATTTATATTAAATGCACCAGTTCAGCTAGGATCTGGAGGTACTTGCGTTGCGTTGCGTTGCCTGTACGGGGGTTCCCTTTGTTGTGGTCCTTGCAGAACAGGGGGTTTCCCGCGGTCGCTGATTGGCTGGAAGTTCAGTTTTGGGAAGCCAGTGGTTGGGCGTTGGCTGACGACGCGGAGTTGTGGTTTGAAGTTGAAGTTTTAGACGGCACTCTTTCGGAGACACGTCGTTAGGCAAAACTTAACTCGTAACACGAAACTCTCAACGGAAAATAAAATAAACTAAAGTAAAGAAATAGAAGTAAAGTTTGACGAGACTAGGTGGCGTTTCTCCTCATGGTTTTGGAGGAGCTGGCGTGTAAGCCAGAGCACGCTCAAGGAGCGCTAAAAAGCAGTAGCAAAACGCAGTGGCAAAAAGGCAAGGAAAAACCTAAAAGCATGACTAAAGGCTAGAAGCGAAAATCTTAAAGCTAAAAAAAGCGTAATTTGATGGTATCCTGAGTATTTAAACTGGGCTGTGGGACACCTCCCAAATGGTGTCTTGACCATTTAGATATTGTCTTTGCTCGGGGTGTTGTATGTTTCTCCTCCCAATTCATAAATCAAATGTTATCTTATCAGTCACATGGTCCGAGTTTTTCCCGCTCTTGCAGAGTATAATTTTGGGCATGATTTCTATAACAAGAATATTATACATTTGACAAAGAATTGATTGGAAGAAACGTTTCCAGCAAGAAGATTCAAACACACATGCTAAACATGAATATGAACCCTTAAGCTATTCAATAGTTATTCAAAATACATACACAATAAATGATTAAGACCTGATAGTCACACATGTGGGTTACATACATAATATGGAGTTATGCATAGAAATTATTAGTTGCTCACAAGTCCTTTTAGTGTCATTTAGGTGCATGGAAAGGCAGTTTCTGTGCCATTCTGTGAATGTATGAAGACCAGAGATTAAGAGGTCTGTAAGGAATCTCAGTTTGTTCTTTGTCTCCTAGGTGGGGGTAGTCAATCCAAAGAGCTCGTGATTACTATCACTGGTTTACATGATGGTCATGCTGTGCATTTCTTTGACCATTAATCTTGCTTACTTGCCCCAAAATTGACAATCTCCTTCCTGAGATGTTATATGATCAGTGTGTTCTCTTGTGTTCATTTTGAAAGATGTTCTGTGAAAGTTGGTTGGTTAGGCTGAGAGAAATAGGCCTTTTGTGTACATAGAAAAAGTCTTAGATCTCTGAGTTCAGCTCATGAAAAATGGGGGCAAAAACAAAAGTGTTGCGTTTATAATTTTGTTCAGTGTAGTAAGAAGCATTTTCACTATTGATTTTAGACTTTTGGACCCCACTGTTTGTTCTTCAAGAAACTCATACAGTCTACAGATTAAGATCTAATGATATGAATGATACTGGAACTTAACCTTGATAGACAAACTTTTTATGGCAGGCTGTGATTTGGGACGCATTTATGATCATGTGATGTCATAAGGTGATTGGGGACACTGGTTGTTGTGGATGTCGCTAAATCCCACAGAAAGACAATTAAGCTTCCCAATTAACTCTTGTTTAGTGTTCACACTTTATCACAAAAAGCCCTGTGTGGAGTACCAACATCAGAAAGAACAGGAGGGAGGGCTGGCATTGTTAGACATGATGTGAGTGTGCGTGCGAGAATAGCATAGCGCATAGATCTTTCCTATGCGCTATGCTAGTTTGAACCCTACACTGTTGAACATATCACTTCTATGTTGGGAAATTCTACTCGGGTGCTACTCTCACTTGAGGAACACATACTGTATATCACTTTCTAAGGCTTTTCTTGTTCAGGCATTTTGATTGTATGGGGCTTAGATCCTCTGCCTGCATAAAATGTTGGTATACAAGGATGTCATGCATCTATTTTTGTGAGGGGCACCAGTGGCAGTCCTGGTTTTCTTGGTGCCGTTTCTTGGCAGGTTTGATTTGATTAAAACGAACTCTGTTGCACTTGCTCTGTTAGTATGGTTCATCTGAATAACCAAACAAGTGGACCGAGACCCACCTTTTCAGGCTTTCAAATGAACTCTGGTACGTTCGACTAATGTGAACACAGCACGGACTGAAAAATGAACCAAAAACATTCTCTTCTCGTCACATGAGCTATGACTAGCAATATGAACCCGTCATATTGCCCATTACAGTCAGGGTGTAGCTAGGGAATTCTGGGCACCCTGAAAAAATATTGATGTGCGCCCCCACTGCCTTCTACTCAAATCATACAGTATAAGATATGGGTTATTTTTTTTAATGACATAACAAAACAGAAAATAAATAAATACATACATACAAATAATGGCTTCCTGATAGCACACATGCAATATGCTACTGCATAATATTTTATTAAATAAACTAATAAATGTATCCATCAGTGCAGTGAGTTGTATTCACCTTTTTTTTTTGACAGTGTTATCTTAATTATAGGCTATCACATCAGCAACAATCCATGTGACGCGCATTTCTCTATGGATTATACAATATAACAATCTACATAATAGCACAGAAAGAGGGGAACTTTGAGAGTGCAATCGTTTGGCCGGTGTGTCCTATTCCCACAAAAGTAAATTGGGCAGCGAAATGATCAGGTGCGTGGCATCCCATCATAATGACATCCTTACAGTGCACTGACCTGTCTTGCAAAAGAACGTTTTGATAGACTGATTAAGCATGTTCTCTGGCCTCCGTCTCCTTTTCATGACGTTACTGGTACCCAGATTCATGTACAGTTCTGTACAGGTGTCAGAACCTCAGTCTCTGTTTGCTGTTTTGACTCCTTTACACATTTTATAAGCTCTTTGTGAATTATCAGTTGGTAAAAATGCCATCATATATACCCTGCACACAGTTTGCAAAATATACGTCCTAAATGCTGACCAATCAGGTTGTGACTTTATCTTTTTTTGTTTTATATTGTTAAGTTTTTTAATATTAAAAATTACAGTGTGAACAGTAAGTGAACCAGAAATAAATGTATTATTTACTCTTTTGATCCGGACCAATAAAACCAAGAGAAGCGAACTACAAGTGTAAACACGCTTAATTTATTAATATTGATCAATATTTTGATATATATTGACCGATATTAGATATTCAATTTTGCATGTTCATTTCCTCTATTTTTACATTAAAATAAATTACCTTTGCCATCATTTTAACACTCACTAAAGGCTAATCTTTAAAAATGATAATGTAATAACACTGTTAAATGTAATCTTAGCAGATCTCAAAATGAATATCCAGATGCCTTAATTCACTTTAGGCATTTAAAACAATCGGTTTTTGTTGATAGTGTTTTAATTTTAATTTGTTTAGGCAAAATAGTAAAGAACTTTAATATTGTCCATTTATTAATGGTCATAATAACATGAAAATAATTATCAGGTTATATTGGCCAGAATTTTAATATTGATGTGTTGATAATTTTAAACAAGTAGTAATTAGGTTTTTAGTCCAGTTAGACCTGCAACCTAATTATTAAAGATACAGTCTTTAGGAGTTGCATTCAAAATCTAATTTGCTCAGTTGGCATGACACTTCTGTCGGTATGTGTAACCCACCCAAAGAGGTCTCATTTAAAGCAGCATGGTATCTTTACAGAGTTAGGCAGTGCATGCATGCAAACAACCCATAGTAAATCATAATCAAACCACTTTTTTTAATGAAGAAGTCTAATACAAAAATTGAAAAAGCATATACAGTATTTATTAGTTGCAGGAATGGAAACAGAAGTGATTCAGTGTGTTTCTATTTCCACAGGTGTTTGTTTCATTATCAGACTCGCAATACATTTGGTCTCAGCGTGATAATGGGTGGTGCTGAAACTTTAATGAACCTCATGGGTGCTTTCAGAAATCTGTCAGGCTCTCTAAGCACAGTTAATTATTCAGACCTCTTTTTTAAGGCAGTAATGTCAGAGTTCACTCAAAGTTCTAACGGATCAGAGGTGGGAATACTTTTTCCGTGTATCTGCTACATTCCTGTAAATATCCTAGTATGTAAAAAGAGGATTACCTCACAGCTCTGTGAAAGAATGTTGCATTCTCACATGTGCATAACAATCTACTTTTCATGTGTTTAGTAGGTTGCCAGGCAACCTTTTCAGGCAACATTTCAAATACATGCAAATTGCGTAAGTGTTCTTAAAATATTTGCATGTACTCAAGTATTACTCATCTGTTCTCTTTATCTCCTCTTAGATTGCCTTGGCTCTGCTGTTTTTTCCCCCATCAAAGCTGATATTGTGGGTAACATCACTGTAAGTTCACCACGTGATATACACGGTTGATAAGCATTGAACAATATAACTTTTACAATCATTACTCCACCCACCTCTCTGCTTTTTCTCACAGAAAATCAAGGCTGTGTATGACAGCAACCCTACCAGGTTTAAAACCCTGCAGCACATTTTGGAAGCAGAGAAGGAGATGCATGGAACCGAGTGGCCAAAAGTAGGAGCAACACTTGCCCTCATGTGGCTGAAAAGGCAAGGCTGGGCCCGAAAAGTTTTTTTATTTTTTTATTTTGTAGAAGTGAAAGTGAAAAACAGTTGATTTTAAACATGAACTTTGATACTTCCTGTTTCTGTCTTTATTAAATAAATAGTTCAAGTAAAAATGAAATTTAGCTGGAAATGTACTTACCCTCAGGCCATCCAAGATGTAGATGAGTTTGTTTCTTTATCGGAACAGATTTTGAGAAATGTAGCATTACATCACTTGCTCACCAATGGATCCTCTGCAGTGAATGGGTGCCGTCAGAATGAGAGTCCAAACAGCTGATAAAAACATCACAATAATCCACAAGTAATCCACACGACTCCAGTCCATCAATTAACGTCAAAATTAAAGTGAAAAGCTGCGTGTTTCTAGTAAACAAATCCATCTTTAAGACTTTAACTTCAAACCGTTGCTTCTGGCTAAAATACAAGTCCTCTATCCATAATATTGCTTTCTCCAGTGAAAAAATCATCAAAACAGTGCAGAACAGGTATGTTGGTGGATTTTTATGTGAGCAGACAACAGGGGATGGACTTTTTCACTGGAGGAAGGAAGTGTTATCATGGATTATGGATTCCAATAAGCTACTATTTTGGCCAGAAGCAACTGTTTGCTTAAAGGTGCAATAGGTGATTGTCTTCAGAAACATTTTTTGTTATGCTGGTTGAAAGTCTCTTCACATCCCGATAGCAATCATTAAGTTAAGTGGTCTAAATGTATTTATCTGTATTTATATATTCTGTGGAAGGCGTAGGACCATGAAATGTTCGTCCAATCAAAACGCTCGGTCCGAGAGTTTTAATTTGCTTTCCTACCTGCCTGTCA